ATCTATAAAATGGGACTAATAACACCTACCTTCTAGGATTGCTGTAAAGATTTGTTGATATATACATTTCAAAATGCTTAAATGTTTCCAAGTGTTGATTTTTCACACTCTTAACACCAAACAGTATTGTGTACAATGCTGAAAATTTTTAGTGTGAGATTACTTCAGTCGTAAACGTATTGAGAACAGATAACATGTTCCACATACATAAAGCATTGAGAAGATTAGAAATACAGTCTGGTTCAGAGCCCCCTCCCACCCACACACACTGAGACATATATATCAATAAAACTCCATTCTTGACAAAGGCAGTATGAGATGTGTTGTGGAAGGGACCTGTCTGCTATCTTAATGTCATGTTCAGATTTTCAGGTAGAGCTAAGGTCCTTGACATACAAACTATGCCATATTTTTCCTTTATGGTTCCCAACTCTCCTTGAGATAGGAGGCATTTAATCATAATTTGATAACCAAATAAAACCTCACTTCTGTTAAGTCTATATAAGAGTTCTACCATCACCCATGACTTTTTCTAAATCTTTCTCTATGGTTTTTTTTTTTTTTTTTTTTTTATACGGAGTTTCGCTCTTGTTACCCAGGCTGGAGTGCAATGGCGCAATCTCGGCTCACCGCCTGGGCTCAGGCAATTCTCCTGCCTCAGCCTCCCGAGTAGCTGGGATTACAGGCACCCGCCACCATGCCCAGCTAATTTTTTTTTTGTATTTTTAGTAGAGACGGGGTTTCACCATGTTGACCTGGATGGTCTCAATCTCTTGACTTTGTGATCCACCCGTCTCGGCCTCCCAAAGTGCTGGGATTACAGGCGTGAGCCACCGTGCCCGGCCCTCTCTATGGTTTTAATTGGAGCTGTATCTTTATTTCACACAACATCTTGGAATTCTACAAGCCCATAGTCCATTGCTGACAGTAACATTCCTTTACTTTGTAAATATAACTTATGATTCAAGGGTTAACTTCCCCTACTACCTAATACCAAAGATTGATTAATAAGAACATATTAATTTGCCAACTAATATAAAATGCTATATTATGATCATATTCTGTCATAATTCCAGTCTGATAAAAGATTTATCATTATTTGAGAATGCCTCCTTCACACTTGTTCCAAGTTATTCTAATATTTAAAATGTTATCTGATACTTCTTAATGTATATTTCATACATTAGCAATGAAGTCTTTCTGTGGCTATTTTCATCTACAGGTTGGTTTCTCTAGAGATAACTGTTGTTATCCCTGACCTGGAAGGACAGGTAGTGAACAATAGTCTTAAAATGCAGATTGAGGCTGGATTTATATATAAAAGTAATGAGGTCCAGTGTGGCTGCTCGATTTATTAATATTTTTGCAATCTTAACAATCAGTGCTGATGGCTATGTGGTCAGTTTTGGGGGGTGATGTTGCTGCAGGCTCCTCTAGTCATCCCAGATAGCTGCTGCCTGGAGGGAGGTTATGATTGTAAAATTTGTGTCCATTTTGTGAGTCAGAAATACAAGTATCCCTAGTTATCAGCATCCTTTCTGTATGCTACTTCTGACTGACACCACAAAATACAGGGGATTATTCTAATTCAGAACTAGTGAGTAGGCTGGGCTGTGTCACTTATGAGCTGACAGAATCTGCTAGCAAAGCAAATATCCTGCAGTTCACAGATTCAGGAGGCATTGGCAAAAGCCAGAAGGAAGAAGAGGAGTGAGAGTTACTGTTCTCAATGTGGAGCAAACTTCTATTGGTGTCAGAGGGTAGAGGACAGCAGGGTCCACAGAAATAGAAGGATCTTATAACCTTATTCCCTATAATAAAAATACAGTGAAGAAAAATGACTAGGTATTTCCAAGTAGGCACCATATAGTACTGATCTATGCAGAAGAAATAGATGCCACATTCAACTCCTAGCTCCACAGAATTTGTTCCTCCTTTTTTTTTTTTTTTTTTTGTTGGGGAAGGGCAGAGGTTGGCAGGGACTATATAGTCTAAGTCAATATAAGAATGATTCTTTTAACAGAAATAAATTATAGACAACCATATTAGAATAAATCCATTTAATAAAGAAAAACACATCATCGATTAGAGACCTCTTTTATTATTATTTGGTTTTAGTCAAGGAGTGAATCACATTAGGGTCATACATGCAGGAACTTCTAGGTGTGACTCAAATTTATATATCCAGTAATTAAGGGTATGTTCATATTGGGTCCCTACCGTGACTAAAATACCCTTTTGTTGTAAATACCTGTTTATGTGCTGGATTCTTCTCCTTGGCTCTGACCTTCTCAAGGGCAGAGATCATTGGTTCCCAGTTTTGTTTCTAATCATTGAGCCAGCATAGAGCTCATCTTTGTAGCAATTTAATGAATATTTTCAGAATTGATTTGAATAATTGATAAAACCCCTCTTCATACCCCAGAACTCTGCAGGAAAATCACAAAAGTACATTCTCTAGAAATATACACCATCTCAGAAGTCACTCTCCCACAAAGTCAGCTTTGCAAAAGTCCTTCTTCCAGCCATCGGCAAATGAAGACAGGTTTTTATGCTGTATTTGAGGTGTCAGCACTTCTAAAACTCACAACTACAGAAGAAAGTAAGCTTTAGATTTCTCCAGTAATTTCAGAAAAGTAGCTTTCCCCAGAGGGAAGAAAATACCCTCAGGGAACATAGTTTTCTTTTTTATTGGCCATAATAACCTGCCTGGCTGATCCGAGTAGCAGGGGTTGAAGCACTAATGCTCCACTCTGGTAAGGATGCACATGGTACTGCTGGCCAGAGGCCCAAAATGGGCCCACACATACAGAGCATGGATGCGCTGCATGATTCAGCAACATCTGTGGCTGTGCATGCAGATACATTAAAGGGCAGGGAACTGGAAGCTAATTCACTCAGAAAGACAGCCATAAGGAACATAAGCATATAGTGCCGTGGAGTGTCTGAATTTACTTCCTGGAGACTTTTTCCCCTGAGTCTAGCCAATTGAAGTCCCTGGTTAGTTTCCCTCTCAACTCTTCAGAAGGAAAATAGTCCTGGTTTTGGTCAACGGAGAACAACAAGGATTTAGTAGTCTAGGAAGTTTCTGAGTCCTTTGGAGAATGTATCTATAACAAAGATGTGGGCAAATTGATTTGAGTTGTAATGCTGAAGCTTGCAAGGCAAGAAACTGTTTTTCTTTTACATAGCATATATAATGATTAGTTAAAAATAAAGTTGTTAATGTGATGCAGAAAAATATGTAATAATGACTTTGAGAATTTAGCATAAATATTGATAGCCTTGAAATATGAGACAGAAGAATAAAAGTTTCCATATCCATGATATTTTATGCCCTATTATCTTATGTCAGAGTTGGAGATCATTAAATTTATTGCTCAAGCTGAAGTTTGTTCAGTGTTTATTTAACTCAAAGTTTTATTAATCTGATTAAAGTATGCATTTGGGATAAGCCAAATTCAGCTATTACATGAAATATAAGTAATTCCCAGAATAATCAAGTATGACTGCTCATTTTAACCTGCATTTAACTACAGTATATTTCATCCAAATTCAGGTACAAGCTACATAGTATAACGCAAAGGAGTTTAAATTAAAGTTTCAGGGGATGCCATTTATTAGCATCTTCATAATTTTTAAAAATGCAAAAAACTTGAACACATTAAAGAGAAAAAACTACCATGCCATTTGGACTATCAGTTTGCATAGCCTTCGTTGTGATCAGTGCATCTCCTTTGCCATAAACTTGGGGTGGATTATGGAGAAGTTAGTATCAGATTGACACACTCATTATAGGAAAATTTGTATTTAGAGATAGAATTTCTTGAAGAGGGCAGTGAAGGGGTCTTACCAATGCCTATGTTGGGGGAATATGCCTGGACACATTTGACCTTTATACTATTTATTATGTACCAAGGATATCACTATTAAGTGCTGTGTAGGATTCAAATATCAGAGAAACCATACCCATATAGCCTTTTCTTTTGAGGAATTTAAAACAATTCTACTTAATTGCTTTTAAAAGACTTGTGTGCATAGAAACTGCTAGAGAGAATAGTGTAAGAGAAACATACAGAGGAAGAGATAAGAGTTCCTTAAGTTAACTTAGAAAAACAGAGATAAGTCTTAGGTCAAACCCACATGAGGAAGGAAGACTCTGACTTCCAGAAATAGAAGGTGCAAGAGATAGGCTACAGATTCAGAAAAAGAGTGAAGCAGAAGTAGGTACAACATGCCCTAAGAATGGTGCAGCCGTGCCAGCCTACTTAAGAGTGAGGGCCTCTGGTGGTAAATCCAGAGACTGCTGGACAATTCGTGTGAATTTAGATACAGCTGAGTCCCATACTGAAGCCCAGAGAGTTTAAAAGACTTTGCCTGGCACATTACTAAAATGTGGCAGTGCTGTGACTCAACTTTAAATGCTATCTCCAATACTATATGGCTGTCTCTTTCTAGGTTTAATGGAAGTTATGTCTCTGGGTTGTACAAGATTAAAGTGGTATTGACTCTGGACTCAGAACCATCCTATCACAGTTAGAGGGTTAACTGTCAAGGGAGTTATCTAATAACACCTGAAATGACCCAGACATACTCTAGCCAGCTTACCTAGAAACCGTTAGTTTGTACTTTCAATGGAATCTTTATATTTATATTCCTTAAATTCCTTCCTGACTTTAATGGATGAGATATTATTGCTGTGGTGTGTTTTATTTCCTAATATATGTAACAGTGCATAAATAGGACATGTAGCTCTCCAAACTCAGTTTGTTATATAGCACAAATAATCCCACAGGAACAGTCTGTAGCTGACATGCAACCTCACCTCCCCTAACTCTACTAATGTAAGTGATACGTAAATCGCACATTATCACGTTATATGCTAACGTCAGTGTAGTCGAATTGTCTGTGGGTTGCCATGACAACCCCAGCTAGATAAAAAGATAAAAATGAAACGTATTCATGATATATATTTACCCGGAGTTTATTTTGTCTTCTAGGCTCTTCAATGGCCAACAAGGAATTATTATTCAAAATTTTAGCACAAGATCCATTCTCACTGTTACCAATGTGACACAGGAGCACTTCGGCAACTATACTTGTGTGGCTGCCAACAAGCTAGGCACGACCAATGCGAGCCTGCCTCTTAACCGTAAGTAATGCAGTGGTGCCAAAGTGCTTCCAGGGGCCTTTGGGCCCCCATCCATCAGTAGAGATAAAACCTAAGAATGAAGTATGTTCATTTTAAAAATCAACCTGATGTGACCCATTCTTTACAGGTGACACATTCCTTACACATAGAAACTCTGCCCCCAAATCAGATAGTTTTCCAAGAATTTTACAATCCCTGTAGAAGTCTACATGTATATAAAAAAATATATTAGAGCTGAGGAAGGAAAACATACATAAATAATAGGGCTAACTGAAAAAGTGTCTTTTGGCTGACGTCAGTAGATTTGGTGAGATTTGGCTTTGTTTTCTGTTTTCTTAAATGTATTACATAATCTTGAGGTATTGATTAACATGGCTTATATTTTACTTTTGGTTGGTTTTTATCAGACGTTCACCTTGGGATAGCCAGAATTTCACATGCCATACATAAAATGAAATAGTAAGTAAATGATCATGGGCAAAGTATTTTATCCATATAGATAATATTGTTACTTAAATTTGTATTTTAAAATAAAACTTAAGATTTTATTCAAATAAATACCACATTTCTAATGTATCTTACTTCCTAAGGACTAAAAATTAATAAAGAAGCACAAACACAAGGATTGGGTAAAGGGATAGAAACCTCCATGAATGTTTCCTTCTACAATTACTTTTACTGCTATTTAGAAGCTGAGTAACCAACAAATTTTTGCAGCCACAAAATATTCTTAATTTTGAAATCAAATATTTTTCAAAATGTTCAAAGAGTATACTGAGAGTACTGAGTATACTGAAAGTTTACTCCAGAGAGTATACTGTCTTTTCAGTGCCACAAAGTTATCTGAATTATCCTTATCTCTTATAGTTAATATGTTATAGTAACTTGACAAATGTACATCTGTCTTATGATCCTATTATAGTAAGCTATCACTGAAAAATGCAAATATTGTGTAGTTCATCATAGACATCATTTCCATTTTGCAGACATTATAATGTGATATATGGTGTTCCTACAACTTAAAAATATACTGTAGGGCCAGCTGAGGTGGCTCACACCTGTAATCCCAGCACTTTGGGACGCTGAGGCAGGGGAATAATGAGGTCAGGAGATCCAGACCATCCTGGCTAACTCAGTGAAACCCCAAGTAAAAATACAAAAACTTAGCTGGGCACAGTGGCACGCAACTGTAGTCCCAGCTACTCAGGAGGCTGAGGCAGAAGAATCACTTGAATCCGGGAGGTGGAGGTTGCAGTGAGCCAAGATCACGCCACTGCACTCCAGCCTGGATAACAGAGCAAGACTCCATCTCAAAATAAATATATATCTATATATATATTCTGTAATATGTTTCAATGATTTAGAGCTTTAAATTACCATAAATTAAGAACTCTGATATTAAATAAAGACATATCAATTATATCTTTTATTATCCCAGCCTAATATTTCATAGTACCCAATTTGAAAGAAAGACACTGATTGTCATGCAATAGTTATAGTATAATATGCTTGCTTAAGTTTCTTCCTTGGGGATGATTTATTTAGTGAAATTATGAATAATATAAACGATTGCAAATATTATAAAGCAGTGTGAATTCCAATTTAATGTAAATATTGATACTTCTTTAGTATATTATTAATATTTTAAATGGTTTAAATATTCAAGCACTTGAATAAATGAATTAACAAGGCAAAGTAAAGAAAAATTTAAGGCTTAATAACATATTAAGTTTTGCTATTTAAATTTCTAAATTACATTCTGATTTTCAAAACTGAAACATTAATGAATGTGAAAAATTAGGGACAAATGCCACTTGTGTAAATGTTTGTTTTGTTCTGGCAACCTTAATACAAACGTCTGGAAATACTATACTGCTGAAAAGGCTTCTAAACGTGGTGCCTTCAGAAGGGACTCTAACCATCTCTCTCTGCCACTGACTTGCTGTATGTTGAGGTGCTACTAAGTACTAGTACAATTTGATTAATTTGTTAATAAAGGCAAAATATGAAAATCTCATCTGTAATTATGAACATAGCCCCAGGAGTTTGAAGAAATTTCTGTATATTCAGAACCTATTGTATGACCTCATCTGAAGCTCTTACTGCACTAGGCATTTTTATTTTGTCTTATAGTTATTTTTATATATTTTCCATCTCTCCATCGAATTATAACTTCTTTAAGAAGGATCAGGCCGGGCGTGGTGGCTCACGCCTGTAATCCCAGCCTTTTGTGAGGCCGAGGCGGGCAGATCACGAGGTCAAGAGATCAAGACCATCCTGGCCAACATGGTGAAACCCCATCTCTACTAAAAATCACCAAGCACAGCTCCTGCTATTTAATAGGAAATTACTATATCTTTAGTGAATAAATGAATTAAATACTGAATAAATGAATGAAAGAATGAATAAATAAATGAATGAATGAGCTTTAGCTGTAGAATTTGTACTTAGAATTTTTATTGTACTATACAGATACATGACAGTATGACTGTAATTACAAATGACACCTTGTTAGTTTACTCTGAAACAGACTCTATTTTAATTTTTTTTAAATATGAACTTGTTCATTTGATTCTCACACAATCCAAACAGCTAGATTCTGTAATTCTTCTCTTCTAGATAAGGAAACTTAGAGGATATAAATGTGGCTGAAGCCAAATGGTTAGTGACAAAGCAAAACCTTAAACACTGACAATCTGGCTTCTGATTCCAAGCTTTTAACTGCAATGCCTACAACTGGCAAAGCACTAGATGTAGGAAAAAAAAGGATTAGTAGGACTGGAACTCCATCCTGAAGGAGTTCTCAGATGAGTGGGATGTGAGAAACAAGCAAGCAGGTAACTATAATGTAATGTGGTCAGTGATACCATAATGGGGCAGAGAAGGTGCTCTTACTGTAGTCTAAAGGGTCATTAAAGAACTTTCAACTAGAGTAGCCAATCCCACTATTTGAATTATAACTAAGGTACAATTCAAAACATCATCTTAGCAATGACTATGTCATTTTCTGGGGCAGAACTTTGCAGAGCTCATTCAACAACAATCACACACACAAAGTATAGTGGGACAAATAAGAGAATGATCAACTCAGTCTCTGTGACTCAGGGAAGAATATAGAGGAGATGCCCCTTTAGCTAAAGGTGATTAGGTTGAGCCTGGGTGTGGGAATAGTGATGGAAGAAAGAGAGAGAAGCAAGCACTCTAGTGTGGAACCACTCATGTAAAGTCATGGCAGTATGAAAAAATTCAATACATTTGAAGACACTATAGTACTTTAATATGGCTAGAATAAAAGGTAGAAGAAGAGTATTGAGAGATGAGGGTAGACATGTTGTCAGGGTTGAAGATGAGAAGGGTTGAAATGAGTTTGGGCTGTACCTTGAGTTTAGAGAGTTATGGAAGGATTTTAACAAGGGAATGGTACAAACAGATTCGGTTTCCAAAAGACACTCTTAGGCAATGTGGACTGCTAAACCCAGATATTAAACTTTTAATACTAAAGGCAAAATAATAATAACACCAAAAAGAATAGCAGAGGTGAGAGATTGAGAGACAAATAGGAGATAGGTATTAATTACCAAATCTGACAAGAAAAGGAAAGGAGTTGCAGGGGTCTAGATAACTCCCAGTGTTTCGTTGGGGTGAAGTTAACCAGAATAAGAACATAAGAGAAGAAACAGAGGTTTTAGATTTTAGGAGGAGGTAGAGATTAAAAGAAAACAATTAGGTTATTTCTAATCATTTTTAGTTCAAGGCAATGTCTAGTAGATAGCTGGGTCCAGATTGGAGACCTAGATTTAAAGTTATCAGAATGGACATGTAATTTTAACCATGAGAGTAAATCAGACTCCTCATAGAAGCCATTAGAGTGAAGAGATTACCAAAGACAGAAATCCAAGTAAAATTAGCATCAAGGAGTGAGCCTAAAAGAGAAGCATCCTGCAGAAGCAAGCAAATTCAATGTGGGTGAAAATGCCTGGGGAGGGTCAGCGCTATGGATCGTCGTGAAAGCTGTGAGAGCAGCCCATTTTGTGAAGAATGAGAAGAGTCAGCACTGTCCTGTGCTACATCTAGTCAGGAGACATCTGAAAATTAACCACGGTTTCTGACAATTGGGCAGTTAGTTACTGGTGACCTTTGCCAGAGTAGTTTCTGTGGATAACTGAGAGCAGAAGCCAGATTTCTGTGAATTAAGGTTAAATACACAGATCAGGAAATAGAGACATGGGTAATAAACTGTTCTTTTTAGAGGTTAGGTTATGGAAAGAAGACAAGACTAATGTTATGCCTTGTTGTCTAGCTGCTGGTCTGATTACGATTCCTTTCTGATTAATATGCCCAGTGGCTGGGTGTATATCAGCAACTCCCTGACCTGCAAAGATATAACACCCTAGCGTTTGATGAACTATACTACAGGGAACTTGCTGTGTTTTCTGGGTTTTTTTTTTTTTGCAAGTCTCCAACATTTTGAGCTTGTTTGAATTTTTCTCGCATCTCTCTTGGGTCCCAGAGAAATAAGCAAAAGTTTTGATTTAACATGGGCCGAGCATAGTGCTCATGCCTGTAATACCAGCATTTTGGGAAGCCAAGGCTGGCAGATCACCTGAGGTCAGGAGTTCGAGATCAGCCTGGCCAACATGATGAAACCCCGTCTCTACTAAAAATATAAAAATTAACCAGGTGTGGTGATGAGCACCTGTAATCCCAGCTACTCACGAGGCTGAGGCAGGAGAATCGCTTGATCCTAGGAAGCGGAGGTTGCAGTGAGCCAAGATTGTGCCAGGCCTGGGGATAAAAGCGAGACTTCATCTCAAAAAAAAAAAAAAAAAAAATGAAGACACCTTAAACCAATTAATTGTCCATGGCCTGTAGGCTTTAGGCAGTAATTGTAAGAGAAACTGTAATTTTAAGTACAGATTTTAGTAATTTCATCAATAGAATTACTTTAATTATTTAAGGTAAAAATGTATATTTTCTCAAGTAAAGAGAAAGCAAACTTT